CGGCTATGGTGGATGGGTGTAGGTGATGGAGGTTGAAGAAGGGTTGGGGCGTCCGGCTATGATGGGTGGGTGTAGGTGATGAAGGATAAAGAAGGGTTGGGGCGTCCGGCTATGGTGGATGGGTGTAGGTGATGGAGGTTGAAGAAGGGTTGGGGCGTCCGGCTATGGTGAATGGTTGTAGGTGATGGAGGTCGAAGAGGGGTCCGGGTGTCCGGCTATGGTGGACGGGTGTAGGTGATGGAGGTTGAAGGGGGGTCGGGGTGTCCGGCTATGGTGGACGGGTGTGGGTGATGGAGGTCGAAGAAGGGTTGGGGTGTCCAGCTATGGTGGACGTGTGTGGGTGATGGAGGTTGAAGAAGGGTTGGGGTGTCCAGCTATTGTGGGTGGGTGTAGGTGATGGAGGTTGAAGAAGGGTTGGGGTGTCCGGCTGTGGTGGATGGGTGTAGGTGATGGCTCGCTTGTCCCGTGGTTCGCGACCGACCCTATTCTACCGCCCAACTCCCTACCCCTTATGTTTTTCTCGTACGTCGTTGGTCTTGGCCGAACGTGCCCCCCCTTTTCCGAACCGTAGATTCCCAAGAGAGGAAGCAACAAGAAGTGATCCGTCGACACTTTCCCAAGGAACTAGAGCCGCAAAACGGCAATATGATCAACACCATACCCGGGGATTGAACAGCGAAGCACCACCGGGTGAAGAGCAACCTACCCACGCACATAGGATAACAAGAGAACAATGTGAACAGCACCTTACCCCGGGGGTTGAACAGCGAAGTACTACCGGGGGGGGACAACAACCTACCGATGCACATAGAACAGCAAAAGAACAATGTGAACAGCATCTTACCCCGGGGGTTGAACAGCTGGTTACTACCGGGCGGACAACAGCCTACCCATGCACATAGAACAACAAAACGACAATGTGAACAGCACCCTACCCCGGGGTTTGAACAGCGAAGTACTACCGGGGGAAACAGCAACCTACCGATGCACATAGAACAACAAAAGAACAATTTGAACAACATTCTATCCCGGGGGTTGAGCAGCGAAGTACTACCGGGGGGGGACAGCAACCTACCCATGCACATAGAACAGCAAAAGAACAATGTGAACAACATCTTACCCCGGGGGTTGAATAGCGGGTTACTACCGGGCGAACAGCAACCTACCCATGCACATAGAACAGCAAAAGGACAATGTGAACAGCACCGTACCCCGGGGTTTGAACAGCGAAGTACTACCGGGGGGAACAGCAACCTACCCATGCACATAGAACAACAAAAGAACAATGTGAACATCATCCTATCCCGGGGGTTGAACAACGAAGTACTACCGGGGGCGGGGAACAACAACCTACCCATGCACATAGAACAGCAAAAGAACAATGTGAACGGGATCCTACCCCGGGGGCTGAACAGCGGGGTACTACCGGGTGAACAACAGCCTATCCATGCACATAGAACAACAAAAGAACAATGTGAGCAACACCCTACCCCGGGGGTTGAACAGCGAAGCACTACCGGGTGAACAGCAACCTACCCACGCATATAGGACAACAAGAGAACAATGTGAACAACACCTTACCCCGGGGTTTTGAACAGCGAAGTACTACCAGGGGAAACAACAACCTACCCATGCACATAGAACAACA